GCCCCCGCCCGCCAGGCGCGTAGGAAAGCGCCTCGTCACCCGGTCATTTTGTTATCCGCGGGAACTTTATAAACTCGAAGAGGTTGCGCCGAGTGAGTGGCGAATCACGACGGAGTGCGACTTGGAGATTGAGGAGGGAAAAAAAAAGAGTTTATCACCCGCTGCGCGAGTACCAGTCAGGTGGCCGACCTGGTGATCGGGTAGGACTGAGAGCGCCCCTCGCGGCCCGATATCAAACGTCCCAAGAGGGATCGGATGAAACAGGACGGGGGATAGGTACGAAGGCGGCAGCCCCCCGAGCAGCGCGCCGTGATGGAGAGAGGTGTAAGGTTCAGTTGGCAGGAGGAGACCCACCCCTCGAGCCCGTCAAAGCCGGCAGTCTCTGGTCTCGACCACTTCATCAAAGCTCCGGACCGACCGGAGCGTCCCCTTCCGCCGTTCCACTAGTTCTTGCTGGCCGGCCCGGGCTGATTCTCACGGTGGTGCCCGCCCCGCGCGCCCCGCCCCTGGATGAAGGCCCCAAAGCCGCCTCCGATTGCCAACCGAAATCTGCTGCGGCATCGTCGCGTCCCGGTTCCATGGTATTTACCTTATTGGACATGATACCCGAACTTAGCAGTCGGGCCTCCGGGGCGCGGGGAGGGGCACAATGGAGACGTGCTGCGGCACGCCACGCCACGCCCTTACGGTGCCGCGGCGCACTGGCGATTGCCGATCACCACTCGAGCGGAAAATCTAAACAAAAAGCTGCACCGATCCGAACTGCCGCGGCGCGCCGTGATAGAGAGAGAAAGAGGGAAGCCGCGGGACACGATTGGGGCGGGGAACATTGGGGCAAAAGAGGGTGGGGGTTTAGGAGGTGGGACAGCGACGAGCTGTACTGTGTGCGAAGTGCGAAATAACAAAAAGTGGCACAGGAACAGTACGGCCGTAAGAAGGCGCCAGCGTGCGGTCAGCCGGTGCTGCTCCCACGATGCACCGCGCATCCGCCCGCCGGCCCCGCCCCGCCGACACATGCTTCATACGCACTTCCGAGCGCGAGATACGGCTGAGAATGTGAGCCTCATAGAAAAGCAGTACAGGTCGTGGTGGACCGGCCGCCGGCTGCGCGACCATCCGTAAGAAATGAAACAGGCGGTGGTATCAGTCAAGACGTCAAGACACCTGTGTTCTGTGCTTATCAGTGACAACCCGCTTGTTCTTGCTCCCGTTTGCAGACTCGTCCCAGGTGGCGCGCACAGCCGGCGCCTCCGACGAGGACTCGGGCGAGGAGGTGACCCTTGGCGCCGTGGTGCAGGAGGTCACGTCCTTCCTGTCGTCGGGGCTGCGCGCCGTGCTCAACCTGGGCAGGGCGTACCGCGCCACGGTGGCCGTCGGCGCGCGGAGGAAGTCGTCGGACCTGGAGCAGCGCGACGGCGGCCAGCACGTCGCCCTAAAGAGCCCCCTGGACTGCCTCTGGACGCTCTACTGCCGGAGCCTGGACAAGACGGCAAAGCTCACGGGGCCGTACGGCTTCCTCGCCAAGCTCAACGGGTGAGTAGTTGAGGCCACCGGAACCGCATGGGCTGCGCGGCGGCCGTGCCACGCCCTGCCGGCCGCACTCACCGACTCACACTAATTTGCGCCAGTCCGCGAGCACACAGGGCGGGGCGGGGGGCCCTCAGTCGCAGGGACACAAGGGCTGCTCTACCGCTCACTTCCGCCTCCTCCGCAAACTCGCTCCTCACGACTCGCTGGAAAGTAGGCGAGAAACATGATGGACTCGGGAAGTGGCGGGGCGTGGCGGGGCGTGGCGGGGCGTGGCAGGCGGGGCGGGGCGTGGCGGGGGGTGATGGTGCGCGACGTGACAAGCACGCCCGCTGTGCCCGGCCCGGTCCAGCTGCGTGGTCAGCAGTGCGGGAGGGTCAGAGGCAGGTGTGGTGGGCGCTTGCATCGACACCCCCGTGCCCACCCGTGTCCCCGACGAGGAGGACGCCGACGTCGTACTGAATAGCGAGTCGCAAGTGCCTGGGGGCCACGCGAGGGTCGGGGCGGACCCCCACGCCTCGCTCAAATCAGATTGGTATTCGGGTCCCAATCGCAATGCGCGGCAGCGCGGCCCGCGACAGGCCGACGCGGCCCAAGTCCCATACTACTCCAGGCACGACGGTGCCCGGTCTAGTTTTGCATAGGATGACCGGAGCCCCGACGCCGGGGTCATTCTCGCTACTATAATGCGCCAGGGGATGGGGGGGGGGTCGCGCTCCGCTGCACTTGTAGTCGTGGCCGCCGGAGGGAAAAGGGAGAAAGAGAGAGGAGGGAGGGGGAGGCAATAAGCAAGCAGCAGGTTCGCCTTGGCCGTGGCCTTACACCGCCTCCTCCTTCACGTCCCCGCCAGCGTCAGCGCTCGGTCCTGTTCGGCACCATCTCGGGCCGATATCACTTCTGCATTCATCACAGCCTGCCCGTCACTCACGGGGCGCGGCAACGCGGAGGGAGGAGGGAGGAGGGAGG